TATGTATCACGCGTGGCAGATAACTGACTCTATATTTTGAAGTTCCTTAAAATTGTTGTATGTCTCTAACCGGGTATAGATAGTGATCATACCAATTTCTTGCAGTTTCCTTCCTTTAAATGCTACAGATTTTCTCGTGCACATATTGACTCACACTGTCATTCTGAGTTTCATACAACTACTAATACTATTATCAGTTTGTTTTTTTGTTTTTTCTGGGGGGAGGGTAAAATCAGGAAGCCTTGTGTTTGATTAATCTCTTCGCAGAGTTTAATACCATTCCTCTTTCTGGTCAGTCTTCGATTTCGATCTATGGGAATTTCTTTTTTTCAAAAGACAGAATAAATTGCATTTAAAATACTGATTTATGTATCCCGTCCAGATAGACGCTTCTTAGTAGTTTACTGACCTTCAATGATATGCTATTGTGTGCCAAAGACAAGGACTAGGATGGTTAAATTATTTCTTTTAATTCCCTTCTCCCCGACACGGTAGTTATTTTTTTTCAAATACCTTTCTTGGGGATACGATTATTTTGATCAATTTGTACTTATATTAAAATTACCGACGGAATGAAACGGTGTACTTATTTTATAGTAATTTATTATACATAGCTTAGAAACTAGGGTGCACTCAGTAAGAATCGAACTCACTACTCCATCGTAATAGTGAAAAAAGCAGGCTAACATTGCACCACATCGAAGTGTTCCAGCACACCCATTTTATAAGTTGAAAGATTCCAACCTTTCCTAGACTTCACTCGGTACAAAAGCGTACGGCAAAGTAAAAAGTAAAGTTTAATCTTTCGATATTTCCTAAAAAAGAACTAAAAAAAGGTTTCTTTTTCACAATGTTATCATTAATGCAAACCAGTTTGATTTAAGTATTTTTGTTTTATTTTTATATATTTTACCTGTACGTGTAGGTTCAGCTTTCAAAGTTTGGCTCTGAAATAACTTGAAAATCAACGAAAAAATAAACTTGCCACAAAGCTAAGGTTTTATTAATTTAGGATTCCCACAAAATGCAGTAGATTGGAGAATAGCGAATAACAACGAAACAAAAAAGGATTTTTTTTCTTCATTATTTAATCAATTTGAAAACTTGAAAATGGGAAAACTGATATTAGCGCATGAAATGTGTGAATTTGTAGGGAACCTTTTCTTAAAAAAAATTAAAATTCCTTCTTTATAGTTGAGAAACTTTCAAAAGAGAATCGTTAAAAAGTAAGCAACGGCAACACGCGACGAGACTGACCAAGAATATTTATTTCAATTATCAAAACTAGACAAATTCCTTTTTAACCTTTAAACGGCAGCCATCATCTGTTTATGTTACACTAGATTTTAGCTGACATGATCAGTTGATGATTTAAACTTTTTTTAAAACTTTTAACAAGCATCATTTATTTTTTGAGGCTAAATGAATAATTAGCAACACTCAGATGCATAAGTTTACTATTAGTTTGTTCGGAAAGTAATGCCCGATGTTAGAATAAACTATTTATATTTGTTCTATATACTATTATAATAGTTGACTAAAATATTTTACTTATTCTTAATGATTAGCGTGTCCTCTTTCTTAATTTTAATATCATCTCTTTCAGAATTGAATTTATTAGGAAAATAAGGCCCGATTTTAAAATAAACATTTTAGTTCTGAGTCTGTCTATATTACTGAGATGAGGTATTATGTACATTATTTACATTATTCGGACTAGTGTGATAAATATGGCGGCAAAGATGAGGACAAGTGATAAATATGGTTACAAAGAAAAGGATAAGTGATAGATATGGCGACAAAGATGAGGGCAAGTGATAAATATGGCGACAAAGACGAGGACATGTGATAAATATGGTGACAAAGATGAGGACAAGTGATAAATATGGCGACAAAGATGAGGACAAGTGATAAATATGGCGACAAAGACGAGGACATGTGATAAATATGGTTACAAAGAAGAGGATAAGTGATAGATATGGCGACAAAGATGAGGGCAAGTGATAAATATGGCGACAAAGACGAGGACATGTGATAAATATGGCGACAAAGATGAGGACAAGTGATAAATAGGGTTACAAAGAAGAGGATAATGATAGATATGGCGACAAAGATGAGGGCAAGTGATAAATATGGCGACAAAGACGAGGACATGTGATAAAAACAAAGATGAGGACAAGTGATAAATATGGCGACAAAGAAGGACAAGGATAAATATGGCGACAAAGATGGACATGTGATAAATATGGTTACAAAGAAAGGATATGAGGGACAAAGATGATAAATATGGCGACAAAGACGAGGACATGTGATAAATATGGCGACAAAGATGAGGACAAGTGATAAATAGGGTTACAAAGAAGAGGATAAGTGATAGATATGGCGACAAAGATGAGGGCAAGTGATAAATATGGTTACAAACATGAGGACATGTGATAAGTATGGTTACAAAGATGAGGACAAGTGATAAATATGGCGACAAAGACGAGGACATGTGATAAATATGGTGACAAAGATGAGGACATGTGATAAATATGGCGACAAAGACGAGGACAATAGTCCGAATAATGTAGATAATAAACATTTTAGTTCTGTTCTAATATATAATAATAGTTGAATAAAAATATATTACTCATTTTTAGTATTTAAAGAGTCCTCTTTGTTAGTAATATATCACTCTCATTCAGAATTTAATTTATTATGTTATTCTGAATATAATGCTCGATTATAAATTAAGCATTTTAATTACGTTCTAATATATTATTAGAAAAGTCGACCAAAATATATTACTCATTCTTAAAGATTAAAGTGTCCTCTTTGTTAATAATATATCAATCTCCTTTAGAATTTAACTTGAAACGTTATAGTGATTTTACAAGCGTAGCTTAGATGTGGCACAAGGCCGAAAGTAGAGGGGCAGCCAGTGAGGATTGAACTCACCACACATTCGTAATTGTTCTAGCGAGACAAGCTTGCTAACCATTACACCACCCCTAGGCGCCCAACTGAAAACGTTATATGCTCTTCATCTTGAACATAAAAAAAGAAGAGATGTGTTTGCTTTGTTGCAACAGTTAATCAAACTGCTGCCAGCTTTAACAGATCATAGGATGAAGGATCTACTTGTGATTGGATAGTAAGGCGCTGGTTTGTGAAGTTCCGCAGTGGGGATATGAGTCTTGGGGATCAAGGGTAGAGGATGTCAATTTGTAATTGGCAATCAACTACTAAAAACACTAGAATCATCTAAAAATATATTTTTATAACGAACAGATCTAAATTAACCTAAATATATTTTATAGCCAATAAAACTTAATTAACTAAAAATAACGTTAATGACCGAAAACGTACTTTTATGTCCAAAATAATTTAACTATCCAAAAAAATATTTTTATAACCAACAGATCTTAAACTTTAAGAGAAAAAACTAATCCGATTGCCTTTAGTTTTTATTGTGTTCTCAAGAAGAAATAAACCTCTGATTTTAATAGAAATTAAATACCTTCGTTTAGGAAATCAATAAATTCTACCTTAAACAGATCATATTATTGTGTCACTTCGGATTTCAGTATTTTTTGTAGATCTTATTTAATTTTACAATCCTCTGAAACAAGGTCTCTCGGGTGCCGATCTGGCTTTGCAGATCAAAATATTTGGCTCTTTTAGCCTTCAAACGTCGCCAATAACAGGCATGATTGAAAATTACAATGAATGGAATTTTAGGAATGACTTGCAACTTAAAATAACATCCGTTATATTTTATTAGATAACGATAAGTGACTGAAAATAAATTGCCTACAAGCAAAAAAAAAACAAAAAAACATATACTGTACGGAATATGGATCGACTGTCGGCGCCGAATCCAGCCGTCATCCCAGGCTTTGAATTCAGAGTGGTTCTTCTCGTGGAATAGTTGCCAAAGCAGGGTAGAAAGCCAAGTGTGCAACAATATTAAAACAATAGCTGGTAGATGGATTCATAACTTTTCTAAGAGTATTTATGCGAAAATGATCGGAACCAAAATTTTATAGTTGTTCAAACGAATAATAACAGAAGGCTTAAATCTCTCGTACGTAAAATTATTGCTTATTTACTCCCGGAATTCGTCAGTTAATATTGGCGTATGGGTCTGTCGCTTTGGGGATTTCTTCTCACGAGGATATAAAGCTACTCTAATTTTTTCCTCTTGGATGAAGCATTCAGATATCTTCCCGGTATCCTGTTGTTGCAAGTGGTAACTTCCCAGTCAACCTGATGATACCTGCTGTCTTTTCAGATGCTCTAATGCAACACTGAGTGCAAAGTCTATTTTCTTATCGTCTGCAGCGAATCCAATGCATATTGGGATTAACACAAAATAACTTCTCTTAAAACAAAGATCCCTTATTGACACTGAATTAATTTCAGATTATTTAGTATTTCTTAGCTTAAATCATATACTATACAACTACCTCTGTCAGTATTTGAACTCAGCACACCATGACTCCTAATCTACGCACACCTCCACTCGAAATATTATATACGATAATGGAAAAACAATTAGTTCTGAATTTGAATACCAATGAAAAGTAAATATAGACTAATAAACATGAGTTTATAAGTAATACATAACAGAAGCTGAATTTCAGTAGTCATGGATTTAAAACGTAATGCCTATTCCTTCTACAATGGCTGTTATGTTTAATGATATTGGTGTCAGATGCAAACGAATATGAACCAAACACATGAGCAACGACGAATTGGAAACAAAAAGGACGCGTATACATAACATCAGAAAGAGACTGGTGAAATTTCTAGGGCATATAATGAGGAAAGAGAGCTTGGAAAATTTGGTGGTCACAGGACAGATTGAAGACAAGAGAGACAGAGGAAAACAACTCATAACCTATTTAGAGAGCTTCAGTAAATGGATGGCGGAGCAAGGTGTTAGAGAGAAAACAATAAGACAGAATCTATTAAGAGTTACGAAGGAAAAAGGAAGTACGGAGAGTCACGATCGCCTACGCACTGAAGAGATATGGCACGATGACGTCGAAAAAGGAGAAAAAGAAAAAAGAGAAAAAAAGAAAAAAAGAAGAAGAAAGAGAAAAAAGAAGAAGAAAGTGAAAAAAAGAAAAAAGAACAAAAAGAAGAAGAAAGAGAAAAAAGAAGACGACGAAAGAGAAAAAAGAAGAAGACGAAAGAGAAAAAGAAGAAGAAGAAGGAGAAAAAGAAGGAAAAAAACAATACCAGCAACAATGCCGAACGACAATGCAGTTGTTCAATTTTATTTGTTTTTTACTTAAATAATAACAAAGAATAATTTCCGCATTCAGATAAAATGGACGACTGGATCTTTTCTTGCGTTCTCCCCGCGAGGAAAACCGAAATCTCACGTCTAGAGCGACGAAATCTTATATCTTTCCTTACCATTGTCCATGACTCCTGTTACAATGTTCACGTCAAAGCGCATTAGACACACTAGTAAGAATAAAAATAATGGAAGCGGAAGGGGAAACGCTATCATAATAAAAGCAATAGACTACATGAACCATATTCTGGGATAATGAACATTGATACTTTTCAGAACAGGAATTACTATTTTCTCATAACCAACACAAGATTAATATATAAAATTTCAGGAAATGAAATAAGCGTAAATTTTATTACATGTTTTGACAGCGCCTATATTCAGGCGGACAACTGCATGTTTTATGGCAAGTTCTCACGTAGATTTAGTTAACGAAGGTTTTTTGGGTTATAGAATTGCCAATAAGAAGTTTTGAAGTCGCAGAGTAAGAATATATACGTTTCATGTTTCGGCTTTATCTACATAGACGCACGAGGAAAATACTTTACAAAACGCTTCTGCTCGTGATGGCAACAGACTGGAGATTAACTTTCTTTTAAGCCTCCAAATATAACGAATTACCATTTATTTTGTCCCAGTTTTCATGCAAAATTTTCTGGCTACATAATATCAACTCTTTGCTAGATAAGAGTTTACTATACAAATATGAATGATTAAGAAAAATATATATTTAAATGTATTTGATGTACCTGTTTCGGTTAAACCATGAATAAGGATATCTACAATTTTAGAGATACCATTATGAACCGAGAATCATTATATATAGAAATCTATCATTTTCTTTAGATATCCGGGAATAGAAAGATAGATAGATAGATATGAAAAAACTGACCCAAACATAAATATTAATAATCTGATCTAGATAGATTGATAGATAGATAGATAGATAGATATGAAAAAACTGACCCAAACATAAATATTAATAATCTGATCTAGATAGATAGATAGATATGAAAAAAACTGACCCAAACATAAATATTAATAATCTGATCTAGATAGATAGATAGATAGATAGATAGATAAATATTAATAGATCTAGATAGATAGAGATGAAAAAACTGACCCAAACATAAATATTAATAATCTGATCTAGATAGATAGATAGATAGATATGAAAAAACTGACCCAAACATAAATATTAATAATCTGATCTAGATAGATAGATAGATAGATAGATATGAAAAAACTGACCCAAACATAAATATTAATAATCTGATCTAGATAGATAGATAGATAGATAGATAGAAACATAAATATTAAAAAACTGATCTAGAAAGATAAATATTAGATAATCTGAAAATCTAGACCCAAACATAGATAGTAATCTGATAGATAGATAGATAGATAGATAGATATGAAAAAACTGACCCAGACATAGATATCAATAAACTGGTCTAGATAGATAGATAGATAGAAGAAACTGATACATAAATATTAATACGCTGATATAGATAGATATGAATAAACTGACATAGATAAATAAGAACAAACTGAGACACAAACACACACACATATATATATATACATATATATATATAGATAGATAGATAATAGACTTTGTGCTTGTGATGTTCTTCGATAATCTTATGAAAATGTTTCTCAGAATAAAGTATAACAGTTATCTACCTTTGAATAGAAAATTGTAAGCCTGTTATTAAATTGTCTCCTTGTTATTATATCAAGTCGCAGTTGAACATCGATTGCTAGCGAACGAATCTAACTTGCCACCAACTTCAATAACAATTCATAGAGAACAGTTGCCAAATTATATGTTTATATCGTCTATAGAAGTCGATGTTGTTTTTGTCTAGTTTTATTGGACTTGTTATTTATTTCATTTCGTTTATCTGAATGCAGAGACAGTTCAGCAAGAAGATTTTGCCCCGTAATCTCCTTCAGAATAATGTGGTTTTCATCGCGAAATTCAAATGCTTACTAATCCTCGCCGAGAGTCCAATTTTGACATCTTATGTTGCATCAAAAGCCAATAAATTCTATTCCAATCGGAATCTTTCACCTTTGAACTGTTATTATTATGAGCCTCGAGTTATAAACATAGAAAGACATTTTGTTTCGTTATAAGTTTTATCGTCGTTCGACTGACGAGCAAATCATTAAAACGTAACTGATAAACGCTTGACGAGATTGGAATCGAAATGCCACAACCGGTATTTGACCACAAAGATTACAATCACCGGGGTTAAGCAACGTCCTGCCTGGTCAGTACCTAGACGAAGTGACCGCTTAGGAATACATGGTCCTTTAAGCTTGGATATAAAATTATAAATCATACTCCGATTATAAAATACCTTCATAAACTCGGAAATGTATGTAAGTTAATTGGTCCCTCAATATTGCTTTCGTCTCGTCACTGAAGTGTAGAATTGCAACTGAATATTTTTCGACTGGAATCATCATCAGTGATGAACAATGTCTTCTGTATAATCACATCTGCTGAAAGAAGAAAAATGCTTGTCATCCATTGAAAAATCCATTTGCAAATCGAGACTCTACACCTGACAAAAGTTATGCACTGTGTTTGGTGTAATATGAAGTGTATACATTATCATGAAGTGCAAAACCAAAATGAAACAAGAATATGGAAAAATATGAATATTGGTTAAACATAAAGACATGTTATTCTCATAAGATTATGTTACAAAAGTATTACCTTATCCCCCTTACTCACCGGTCCCTGCTCCATCTGACTATCATCTTTTCATATAGTTGCAACATTTTAAAGGGTAACTATTTTAAGTATAACGAGCTAGAAGTAGTAATGGAATAGGGTATATACAAGGATATCTTTTCTAAATATGAAATCACATAATTCGTCTTATATTTTTGTTAGAATAGGATAAAAAAAAATTAACAGGAATCTGGTAAATACATAATGAATACAATGTTTTTCTAATGACTTTGTAGGAATAGGGTAAAGAAAATGAATTTACTGGAATTAGGTAAATAAAAAAAACAGGGAGATTTTAATTAACACAATATTGCAAAAATTCGACTAACGGATAGCGGCTCGATTGAGGAATCGAAGAGCTGAGTTGATATTGCAGTCGAATCCAATACATTCACTTACGTGCTAATATCCTTGGCAAATGTATGAATCCTCTTATTCTCCTTCAGATATGCGTAAATAGCAGGACAGACTGGGCTCTATAGATTTGGATGGCAACCGTTCCACCGCAGAAAGGAATGACAACCTACTGCGGGAAAAAAGTGTCTCGTCAGTGATGTATCGAAAGATACATGATCGCCTATGCCCTTATCACGCATGGCACATAACTTACTGAAGGAAAAATATAATTTAATGTCTAGAAAAAATCAAACAAGTCAATAAAATTGAATTATTTAGTGCAGTGGAAGCGGCTCGGACTGAGGAATCGGAGAGCCGAGTTCGAATTCTAGTCGAATCTGTTATATTCACTTACGTGCTAGTACTCTTGGGAAAGGTATGAATCCTCTTCTTCTCCCCCCACCTCAACTATCGGTAAATAGCAGGACAGACCGGGCCTTACAGCCTTGGATAGTAACTGGTCTATCGCAGAAAGAAATCCCAACCTAATGCGAGAAAAAATCTGCCTCCAAAATAAATGATCGCCTAGGCGTGTATCACGCATGGCACATAACTGACTGAGTTACCTTTATTAAAGACTCTTGTTGGCGTATGTAAGACGGTGAAGAAAATAAGAGAGATGTTAATACTCGGAAGCGAAATATCCCTCGATAAAAACTTCAGGGAAGTCTTTTTCTATAGATAATTTTATTACATGTACTTGTAATGTCCTTCGATAATCTTATGAAAATGTTTCTCAGAATAAAATATAACAGTTATCTACCTTTGAACAGAAAATTGTAAGCCTGTTATTAAATTGTCTCCTTGTTATTATATCAAGTCGCAGTTGAACATCGATTGCTAGCGAAGGAATCAAACTTGCCACCAACTTCAATAACAATTCATTAGAATTGGCTAGAATTGGCTAGATATAACCTTCTGTGAAATCTTATAATAATATGAGATATGACACTCTAATTAGTTTTAGTAATAAAGATTGGAAAAAACCCTGTACGACATAAAAACCACTTTTATTTCAATACCACCTATGCTAGATCCCAGTCAAAGCATGTTCACTTGATGGTATCTCTACAATAGTTCATAAGAAATGTTGCTCCTGAATTAGGCTCCTCTTGTCTCCCTCTTTTTGCCAACTTGACACTGACTTGATCCCCCTCTCACTAAAATCTACTTTGTTTTTGTCTCCGATTTAAATTTTGCCTGAAATATGACGAGAGATTATCATTAAACACGTTTACGACACGTCTGGCAACAACTTTGTTAGGGTGATATTTTTTTCAACAAAACTTTGCATCTCACTCCATTTTGAAACAATTTTCTTAATCACCGAATAAGGCAAATCCCCCTCTCTTCCCTCTTCTTCTAATGAAGCTATTTCCCCAGCTACACCCTATAATGGTTTGCCTGTCCTCTGCCCACAAATTCTTGGTATAGTCAGCAGTGGACAGAGTAAATCTCTAAGCCTCTATTTTTTTTTTTATTTCTGTCATACCTTATTCTGGAGTGCATCAAAGCTGTATATATCTGTTTTTAGAAAGAAGTGGAAGATGGAGGAAGTGAAAACACCTTCTTTGAAATCTTATAATAATATGAGATATGCCAGCCTAATTAGTTTTAGTAATAAAGATTAGAAAAAATCCTGTACGACATAAAAACCACTTTTATTTCAATACCACCTATGCTGGATCCCACTCAAAGCATGTTCACTTGATGGTATCTCTACAATAGTTCTTAAGAAATGTGCTCCTGAACTAAGCTCCTGTTTTCTCTAAACTCTACAATAAATACTGTTTATTTTCCTGCTTGTTAGAAATCCTCTTCTGTGGTTCCAGCCTTTAAGAACTCAGGTGAACCATCTGATCCTTCTATTGGCCTTCTACTTGAAAGTCTTGGAGTTATTCCGTGGTCAGTTTCTTCCTGCGATCCTGCACCAACTCTTCCACATCATGTCCACTCACATCCATGTCCATTGACTTCCCCAGAGACACACATGGAACATTATTTGGTACTATAGTGGCTTATTGAACAGTAAAACTAAATAAAGAAAATCAAGACATTTTCGGAATAATGCCCAGGAAGATGCTTACTCAGCCAGAGACGAATGCAGACTGGGCCACGCACACATGTGATGCTTTGTGTAGGAGTTTGGCTTGGCAAGGTCACCCGGAGGCAAGCGAACAAGAATGGACACGTTCGTAACAGACGGATTTCCTTGCTTGATGACCTAGAAAATGAGATAAGATATACCTTGTTAATTTAACACCTACAAAAAAAAATCTGCTCTCTATTAATCATCTGAGAGATATCCTTCTGCCTTCCAGCAGCATGGCTGATGCTAACCTCCAAGAGAATGATTCATTGGGCCTCTACAGGCTAAAGTTCTCTGCTGGCATCAAGTGGAATGATTATACTAAATCAGTTACTAAGTCTGCTGTTACAACAGTTGTTTTTTTTTTGTTTTTTTTTTACTTAATTTTTCTCTTCATAATCTATCTTACATATTTACAAGTCTACCATTCATCTATGCATTGAATTTAGCTGCAACCTCTGGTCTGGTCTGCCATATATTTATAGATTCTTGATAAAATACAAAGAAAAATCTGCAGTGTTATTGGTCCTGATCTGGCATCTCGGCTTTAATCCCTTTCCCACCGCTGTAATGTCGATTTCTTTCGCTTTTTTTATAAATATTTTCATGGCAATTGTTCTGATTAACTTTCCGCTATGTTACCTAGACTTTATAAATGTAACCGCGGTACTACGTTGTCCACAAAGTCTCATCCTTCTACAGTCGAATTGGCTAGATATAACCGTAAGTTCTTTGCTAACAGTTTCTTTTTCCGCACTTCTCGCTTGTGGAACCCTCTTCCAGTTTCTTGCTTTCCAACGTTGATCTTCAGAAAATTAAAAGTCAATCATTATCTTTTTCTTCTTCTTCTTTGGTTGTTCTAATTCCTTAATGTTGTTTTAATTTTTTCTTGCTCGTTTACACTCGATAACCATCTGTGTCTAGGTGGCTTCATTGCCTTGAGTGGTGTGAAATGATTAAAGAAGTGTAAAATTTCCGAGATATAGTTTCACCAAAAAGTGAACGTTAACCGAATCGTACGATAACAGAGGTGCTCGATAATCGTGTTTCCAGTGTGTAATGGGTCCTTACCTATAA